GACTTTCTAAGTTTCTGCAAAGACACTTTACTGTTGAATAAAAGGAGGTTAAGTGTTTCTGGCTGCCAGTATTTCTGGTCATCATATTAACACTAAAGATGGAAAGGTGTGTAATATACAGTTTTAACAATATAATAACAGGAAAACTCTGAAAATTCAGGATTAATGAGATAAATTCTTGCTGTCTCTGAAAGTTGTACTTGTTCAAGCTCCTACATACCCTTAAAAGAGCAGTACTGTAAACTTAATATCCAAACCTGCACCTTTGTCTCACGTGAAAGTTATTTGTGTGTTGTGAGACAGCTGATAGATTTGGGACCTGGATTTGCACTTGGTGAGAAAGAGATTGGAAGGAGTTCTATTTGCAAGTGGCTTAGGTTTTTTCTTTTTACAGTTTTGAGCTCCTTTTTCTTGCTGTTTCACTTGGTAGCCAGTAGTTGTGTGGGACTTTCACTTTCACACAGGAAAGAGAAACAGCTGGTAAAAAACATGAATGAATGTAGACCCAAGATAACAGGGTCAAGGTTTATCTTTGAGCCTTTGAGGCTGTGTTTACATATACTGTGAAAGGTAAATCTGAGACTAGCACTATGTAGCCTCTACTATTATTTGTATAAAATGCATAATTATCTGAAGCAATTAAAAAGGTCTTTTACTTGAACTGACAGTTTCAATTCTAGATTAGCTGACATTGGTGTTGGGAATAATAATCTGTTTTGGAGCATTTGTAGACTGCATTCAGTCCAGTCCCTTAAGTGTAGATACTCATCCATGCTGGAGCTTTTTCTGCTGTTACTTACATGGTTATAAGGTATCAGTAGAAGATACTCTGGACAAAGTTCCTTAGGCACCTTCAACTTGCAATAATAGGGTTTTCTTGTGCAGCCATCTCTGGAAATAGAACCTGGGATTTGAATGTCAAACAGGATTAGGTTTTTGAAGCGTGTGTATTTCTGTCCTTCTAGTGTCTCACATATTATAAAGCTATTTCTCAGGAAAATGGTTGTTGATACTGTATCTGTGTTGAATTTCCAACAGAGTTTAAAGCCCAAATAGTTCCGAGTTTGTTTCAGTTTAAGCTGGTGAGGGTGCTGGACTTGTAAATGCACGTTAGGGATCAAATTAAGAATAACTGTTTTGTTGTTTTTTTCATGGGTGCTTTTTGAAATAATCTGTAGTTTAGGAGAGTATTTTCAACTTCCCAGATTCCTCTGTCCAAGAAATGTCAGGTAGCAACTGTTACTAGTTTAACTGTTGTTTTAAGGCTGTTTTTGTGGACTTACCTACTGGTCTTTGCTCTTTTGCTCTTCAGATTAATTGGGACCTGCAAGAGGATTTTCATGCCCTTGTATGATCAGATGTTTCTGCTGAAAATAAGCTTTCCAAGTTTTTCTTATACTTGGCAAAGCTGAAAAAGGCTTGTAGTAAACATTGATTAGAGGCAAATGTCAATTTTAGGTTAGATAATACAAGCAAGTAGTTTTCTACATGTCATTCATTAGAAGCTGTTGTAAATATTCAGACACAGGAGTGTCTTGGGTTTTGCCCTTTACTTCCAGTTTATACTCTGTTACCAGGAGTGTATTTGCTTACCTGCTCAGTCTACCAGGTGAAACTCATCTAATCCTGGAGGAAAACTTATATATTTGTAAGTGTTATCATGAATTAGGTGTTGGGGCCTAGCACATGACTGGAGAAGCTGAAACCCAGAGTGGGTTTAGATGGTAGAAATTTAAGTAGTTTACAAAATACCACCTGTGTTAAGGAGAAGAGACCTAATAATTTTTTAACTTATAAAATAAATGTTTTTACAAATGAGGAAGGTAGCAGGAACTGCGGTGGCAGTGTGCTGGCAATTTATGGAACACTTTTGCCAAGCTGGAGCTGGTGGCTGGCTGTTAATGGCCTGCAAGGACTTGGAGCACAAGGAAGTAGCTGTCTCTCACAGTGTTTCCAGTAGTGTTAAATAAGCAAGGCCAGAAATATATTTGCAGGTAAAATATACTGTCATTGATGCTGATGACAGAACAGTTGGTGTGCTTCTTAGAAGTTGTTTATTTATACAGGATGCTTAGTTATTGAATTGTCTCTTTTGTTTACCTACAACCTATGTTTACTGACAGTTTCTCATAAACAGAATTTTGTCAAGCCTTGCAATGTTTACCTTGAAGTTCAAGTGGACTGGATAAGTCATTGTAGTTCCTGGTAGATGAGTTCAATTTTAGTGGATCTTGGGACTGCTGAACAAGGTCTGATTCCTCAACATCCAGGGGCTTTTTCTTTCTTTCCATTTCTGAAAGCTTTCTTTATTATATGGGGCTTTTTGAGGACTGGAAGAGTGAGGTATTACATTTTGACAGAAGCAAAAGTTGGAGATGTATTGCTTCCTTATATTACATATAAAAATAGTGTTGGCTGCTGTTACATCAGCTAATTATCACTGAACAGTGCTTGCTGTAGGCAGACTTAAAAATAACATGCATGGAGTAGCTTTGTCTGCCCTATTCCCCAGTATCATGGTAATCCATTGCTGAAGAAAGTATTTCTAACCCTTGTGCAGCTAGGTCAGAGTGCTGTGCTGCAGTCGGGTATCCCATGTGGTGGGGATGCAGGTGTGGTGCAGGGCAGCATGCAGGATGTCATGCAGGACACAAGCTCCAGGGTCAGCGTTAATCGTCAACTTTGGAAAACTTTTCCAGTGCGATGTAGCTGTGGAGCCACAAGCATTAAAGGCTCCAAATTCCAAGTGGTGTAGAATGAAGAATGCAGGCCAGGTTTTTGCCTTCTACCTCCTTCCCCCTTCCATAGTATTTATCTCATTAATATAAACTGTATCATGTGCTTTCTCTTGCTGTTACTTGAAAACAAGTCCTCATGTAACCTGTCTGAAATCAAATTCAGACAGATTTTGAAGGGAGTAGGCTTGAAGGTATCAGAACCAGAGTGGTTGTAAGAAAGGAAGTAAACTAAAGCAAACTTCCTACATTGCCTGCACAGGCATTTTTGCCATACAGCAGTGTCTATGTTGAACTGCAGGAAACAGTTACTTTCTGTCTGTCTTGAAGATGCTCAAACTCTAAAGCTTCATGTCAGGTTGTTTTGAGGCTGATGTACCTAACTGTGCTTCTCATGTGATATTCATGTAATGAACTGTACCATGTTACAGATTCCTACTGCTTCCAACACTGGCTAAAGTAAATATTAGCACACTTATTTTTAAAAAGTCTATTCATAGCTTACTATTACAAGAGTAAGTAAGTGAATTGCTCATTCAGAGTTGTTTTAAACATGCTACTCTAAAAGCTGTGTCATTCTGATACTGTGTACTGCGCACACTGGGAAACTGTTTTCTGTTTTCGTGTAAGAACACTTATTTTCCAGACTGACAAGCTTGATTTCTTTCCTCAATTAAAACTTGGAAGAAAGCAGACTTCAGTCTAATCCTGGAGTTAGGGGTGGGACAAGCTGCATTTAGGCTTAGTAATAGGGTAGCTCTAGGTCACTAGGTTTAAATACAGCATTAAGTGAATGTCATGCAACATTATAATTATTTACAGCTGTTTGGTATTATCAGTTCAATTCATATGAACAGTGATTTTTTTTTTTTGGGTGCTGTGCTAACAAATGTCATGATTTTTCTGCAGTAGAAGAGAGTCAGGAGACTAAAGGCTACCTTCCTGTGAAAGTGTATAGGAAATTGTGAGTCTTAGCTGTTTATTACTCCTGATTGGTACTGAACTCTCCTTTGCATTTTGGAAGCCATTATTTTAAAAATAATATTTAAAAAGTCTTACAGCTTATTTTAAAGGCTTTGGAGATGTGTTAGTTACCAGTTATTTTGTTCTAACATGAGGCTATCTTGTCAGAATCATATGAGCTCTAGTGCTGGACCCTTTGAATTTAGCACATGAAGTTTTAGTGGATTTCAGACTAAGTTGTTAGTTGCATTAATTAATAGGCTAATTTAAATCTGGGTTTGATTTTTTGGTTTTTAAAAGGGCACATGTAGTGTCCTGGTCAGTTTTAGGAAAGGTATTAGGCAAAATTAAGAGTACTGATCTCAGAAAAGGTTCAAAGGAAGCACTTCTTGTTTGTAATGGTAATGCCAAGGAATTTGGGTTTGTCTGTGTGATTGGAATGTGTGGATTTGATATTTTCCCCTCAAAGGCTGTATGTGATACAGTTAAACAGCTAGGAATGTATGTATGAATATATCAGTTATGAACGAGCACCAGAAGAATCCTCTGAGCAGCACAGCTACAAGGCAGTGTGTTCTTGGCTATGTTCTGCTTGAGCAGAATGAGGGTAATGGCTGTCAGCACAAGTCATGCGTGGCTTGCCTTGGCTTGCTCACAGGAACAAGTGGCAGACTCAAGCAAAATTTCCAAGTCTTCACCTAGTTGACCACTTAAAGCTTTCTTCTCTTCCTAGCTTCTACTCTATGGTATCTATCTAATTTGTCTTGTTGTGATAGAACTTCGGTAGAACTTGGGAAATACTCAGAATTGTTCCATTCACAGTAAGTTCAAATGGAGTTTTGAAGATGTCTTCATAAGTATATTTTATGGAATTGCCACACCACATTTTTTACATGTGGGCTTTGTGCATAGCACATTAATGTCTTCTACCCTTAAGGATTTTTGGCATGTTGTTTGTGGTCAGGAGGACACTGAGCATTAAAAAAAGTTAAAATTTACCATGAGAAGTTAAACATTTCATATACTGAGCTATTTTCCAGAACTGATTTGAACAGCATGTACTGAAGACTGTGCACCTGCACTACTTTGGGAACTTTTATTTGTCTGTTTAAATTTTCACTCCAACTTACAGGGTTAACAAACTGACTTAGGAGTTTGCTTGCCTTCAAGGAAAAGTAACTGCAGCATTGCCATACATATTTCAGTAGTTTCTTCATCTTTTTCAATTGGACTGTGCTGGGTATAATGTTAATTATATGTGAATTTATCCTTCAGTTACTTTCCTGATGATCCTGTTTCTTTTGCAGATGTGGAGGTACTGTCGGTGCAATTCTGACATGCCCACTGGAAGTTGTGAAAACACGGTTGCAGTCCTCCTCTGTGACTCTCTACATCTCTGAAGTCCATCTCAACACTGTGAATGGTGCTAGTGTCAACCGAGTAACTAGAGTTTCTCCTGGACCTCTCCATTGTTTGAAGTAAGTGTGTATGTTATGTTTCTGGTTCATCTAGGGAGGGCAGGAGGAGGGAGGTGTTGGACAGATGTGTATGAATGATTGGAACTCTTATGTTTGTCATGATGCTACCATGAGATGACTTTCCATATTTTGCCTTTTAACTAAGCCTTTTAATTAAGCTCCAAAGTATGTCCCCAAAACTCACTGGGAGCATTTAAGTGCCAGACTCTGTGTTAGTATAAGACTTTAACAGTTTTGTGTCCACATCATAGGTGTTGCTGAATATGGGGGCAAGAAGTCCTATGAAAATTGTTAGCTTGTTAGTGTCCCTCAGTTTTTACCATTCTATACCCTCCCTGCCTTTTGGTATCTTCTTATGGATGTGTGACTAGATACACTTGTTTTAGAGCTAGCAAGAGGTAAGTAGGGCCAGATTTTGCCATGATCGGGGATGGGTTTTTTGCATAGCACCTCACTGAATGGGGACTACCTTTCTTCTCCTTGCCAGCAGGAAAGTTGTATGGCCCCAGTTAACTGCTAGTACAGACCACAGGCAGGGCTTATTTCACTTTAGAGGACTGAGCTAGTTGGTTATGGGAAGGTATCTCCAGTATTTTGGAATTAGATGAGCTGTTCTCCAGAAAGGATATGTTTGCATTTGAAAGAATTTAATAGTACTTGGACCAGCCATTTTCTATCCCCAATTAATCAGTGACAAGTAGTTTGTAGGGAGCCCCTTCCAGCAGTTGCAATGTAGTTTTTAGGCTAAATTTGGTTAGAGGATAGAGTTTGCTTTTGGGTTGTACCCAAATAGTTCAAATTGTGACAAGGAAGGAGAGCTCTGTCCAAAACACTTGCCTTTTGGCTTCTTTTGGGTGAAGTTGAGCCCTTTACCTTCCCTGAATGTGCAGTTAAGAATTGATCTTCTCTTTTGAAATGTAACTAAATTAACAGCAGGATTTTGTTTCATGTGTCCCTCTGCTAGAAGCCTGCTATGCTTTAAAAACAATCCTAAAACCTGGATTATCTTATTCTTAGAAAGCAAATTCAGACTGAGAGGTAGTCCATGATGAACTTCATTGGTAGGGCTTGTTTGTTTTGTGGGGTTTTTTAAAGTCTGCTTCTTAGGCATGTTTTTCTGTGAAACAAGAATGTGTCTTCTGCTGCTTTTGTTGTTTACTTGTATGCCTTTTCCTGGTCAGTATCAAACAACTGAGATGCCAACCAACTTTTCTGGGCTTCAAGTTCTTTATATACAGTAAATATGAAAAACACCTAAATGACATGGCCAGAGACTATGACAGTAAAAATACATAGATGCAGAACATAAATTATTTTTGGTTAAGAGACTAGAAGTCATAGAATTATTTTGGTTGAAAAAGACCTTTAAGATCACCAAGTCGAACTGTTAACTCAGCACTGCCAAGGCCACCACTAAGCCATGTCCCTCAGCACCACAGCTACATGGCTTTTAAGTCCCTCCATAGATGGTGACTCTGCCACTGCCCTGGGCAGCCTGTTCCAGTGCTGAAAACCCTTTCAGTGAAGAAACTTTTCCTAATATCTGATCTAAACCCTGCCTGGCACAACTCAAGGCCTCTTGTTCTATCACTTGTAACTCGAGAGGATCAAACTGCATCCCTCTGTCTTTACTGTCACTAGGTATTTCCTGACTTGTAGGTGTCAGGGTTTGGTTGTCTGTTTTTATGCCAAATTCAGTGTAGTGTTTCAAGGCTCACAATAGTCAGTCTAAGAGTAGGCTGAATGAGTGAAATGATATCAGAATGTCAGTTAACTGTTGTGGAATTGGTTCTGCATCTTAAGTGTCAAATGAGGTGACCTCAAAGGCATTTCTGTCAGGAAACAAATTCAGAACAGATACAGGTGTCTGCATTCTCTGGCAACAAAAGCATATTCACTAATTCTTAAGTGTGGTTTATAGCATATTGCATGTGCCTCTCCTGCCTAACCTTGCTGAGTTTAAACCTTGCTAATGGCAGTCTGGCCAGCCTCTCCTTGCAGGCTTCTGCATGTGACACAGGCAGATCAGCTGAGGTCATACCAAGCATTTGTGCTGCTCTTCCAACCATGGACTTGCTGTTTACTGTTTTCAATAAACAATGCAGGCTCTGGGATCTGCTCTATAATGCAAAAGGTGGTCTTATTTTCCGTGTAGGTTCTGAAACTCCTTCAGCTTGTGTCTGTGAATGCAGAAGAGGGTCAGTAATTACCACCATTATAAACCTGTCTGCTGCAACCTCTCACTCTTTGTTGTTTTGTCTAGTCTTGGGATGCTGTAGATCCAGAAGAAGCAAATAGATCTGTTGCACTTCACTCCTAATTTTCTCTTAAGACACTGAGGTTCCTGCTGCTTTGTGTACATGCAGATGTTGTATGTGCATATATATGTATGTGTAACACATGGTGTTGTGGTGGTAGCAATTTTTAACATGTTGCTGGACACATGCAAGTGTACCTAAATACTGATGGTAACTGTGTAGAATAACTATTTTAGTTTTGCTTACTGAAAGCAAATGTAAACTTTCCGTTTGATTTAGCAGCAGAACTGTGGTGAATCAGTACTATAGATGACTTTCACCTGTTTGCTCTGATAGTAAATTCCAAACAAAATAGCCATTTATACAAGGGTACTTTGCTTTATTGAGTAGTTGACTTGTCATTAACCTGCATGTCTCTTTGAAGAAGAAATATACAGGAGAACTATCTGTGTGTATTGGCCAGTGTTTCTAAATCAATAAGCACAGAGTTCTGTTTTGCAACATCTAGTGGAGTAGTTAAGAATTAACTTCAAATCTGGTTCTAAAGCAATTAGTAGAGCAATTTGCAGTGATGGGATTCAAATAGGCTTTTTCCCCCTCTTTCCTACCATACTTTAAAAAATACCATATCTGATAATGTATCAGAATTGTTGGACAGATGGATTTTGCTCAAACTGAATATTAATGGATATCATCTTACTGTGCCAGTTTACCTTGCTGCATAATGGTTTTCAATTTTTTCTAAAATTCACTGTTGCAATAAATAGGTGTTCCAAAACCTTAAGGACTAGTACTGCCTCATTTGAGGTCTCAGTTGGCTGCTTATATTTGTGTTTTTCTGTAAATCCCACAGAGATGGAAGATAACATCCCCCTGGCACCCAAGCAGTCTTTCCAGAGTAGTGTTTATAGTCCACTGATACCACAAGATGTTAGGCCTGAACTGTGGCTGTGGCTCTTTGTTGTGTTTACACTCCTTTTTCAGTTAATCTCAAACTTAAGTGAGTTACCTTGTGTGAGGAGGTAAAAATTCTTTTCTGGAATGAGGAAAAAGGGAAAACCACTGGCTCCACAGCACAGCAGCAGAGCTTGGGTAAGAGCATGAAGGCAGCAGTCTGCATGAAATTTCCATTAGTATTTTCTCCCTGATGTGAGGATGCTTTCTGTAACTTCCTAATGACAGATAACTCCAGCTATGTATGTATTCCTATATTTGAGGTAGGTCTGTTGACATAAGACTTCACTTCTGTGTTTAGTTCCTGAATTTCTATGTCATGTTAAGCAATAATGGATTTTTTTTTTATTCTGATTCTAGGAAACGTCTGCTTTTTTGGTGGACAATTGTGTTGTCAGATATTAAAGTTTTACACAGAGTAAAGCTTAAAACAAAGTAGTTATGGTGGTCAGTGTTTTTTTTAAATTTTGATGTGAATGTTACAGTGTTGTCCCTTTCTTATTTTCTAGGATGATCTTGCAAAATGAAGGTCCTCGTTCTCTGTTCAGAGGGCTGGGTCCTAATTTAGTAGGTGTTGCTCCTTCCAGGTAAGTACAAATATGTGCAGTAAATGAAATTTGATTAAATTTTGGTTGCTGTACGTTATTTAAGGGATTTAAAGTTTATTTGAAGTGAATTTTGCATCTTCAGTTGTAAATACTTAATAGAAAATAACCTTTGGTTCCTGTAGTAATTCTGATGTCTGAGAAACTGAGCCTCTTGTACTCTGCAGCTCTAGTCCCACATCCCTGCACCAATTGTCTCAGCTTTTAAATTCCTATATGCTGCTATAATAATTTTGTGTACTATAGTTTTGTCTAGTTAAGAAGGAAAATATTTAAGGAGTTGAACACGTAAGCAAGAAGTTTGCACCTTTGAAAATACAAAGGTACATTTTGCTTTCAGTTAATCTGTCATGTTCAGGAAGCATCTGTGTGACTAGTCTAAAAGCACTGGTCTTTCTTCCTGGACTCTGGGGAAGCCCTGACTGCTCTCTCTGCAGTAGGAAGCCTGTTCTGAAGCATCAAAAAGGGAAAGACTGTGTAGGATCACACAATTGTCAGCTGTCCCAGAGAAAGTAGATCCAGCAGTGGGCTGAACTCCAGAGGGGACTGGGGCAGTCTCAGGATACGAAGAATGAGGATGTAAATCTGCTGTAATTGGCAGTGGTATTGCTGCTGTCAGCTGCTCTGCATCAGCACAAATACTGTAGCTACTCAGCTGCTGCTGGCAGTCAGTGATGTGCAGATTGTGCCAGATCTTGAATTCATCCCTACATAAAAGTGTTAGCTTAAATTCAATCCAAAATTAGGAGAATACCTACGGAAGAGTATGGAAGAAGTTCTGGAGAACTAATACGAATAAGTAGTTCTGGCTCACTTTTATTCCTTTCTGCTTAAGAGACAAGTCTTTATGCAGAAGTAATGTGTTCCACAAAGGTTTTACTCTTTCTCTGACCTAGTGCCCTGGTTTTGCATTTTGGTTTGGGTTTTTTTGGGTCTGAAAACAACATTCCTGTCTCCTGCACACCCTGTTGGAGACTATCTTAACTTTTCTGGTTTAAGGTGTCTGTGAATGCCTCTGGAAAATTTCGTTGAACTGGCCTTAGCTTTCAGCATTGATCTGTCTTCTGCCTAGGTCTGATAGATGAGGTGGTGTTCTGTAGATCCAGCAATAAGAGGAAGACATAATTCAGGAATAGGAAAAACATTATTTTAGCATATTTTTTAAAGGCATTTCTGATCCCTAACTTAGCATTGCTGTTTGGAGAAGCTGAAGCAATTCCAGCAGCTTTCTTTGTTCTTGACACCTGTGAGATATCTGCACTTCCTAATCTGCAAAGCCAGTATTTTTGATAGTCAAGTCTGATGTGAATGTTCAACACTGATACTACGTTTTTAACAGCAATTTTTATATGGCAATGAATTATGTTTTATAAATCACTATCCTCAATGAAAAATATTATCAATTGCAAATACTTCTTTTCAGTAAATATTAAATCTTCTAATTCCCTTCCATTTTCACCCCAGGTGAAATACTTAGCTTGTTTTCCCCCTCCCCACTACTGAAAATGTCAACTTAATATAATGTGTGGAGTCATATAAATAAGCACATCCTCATTCCCCTCCAGCTGACTCGGTCTCCATCCAGTCCTTCATTTCAATTAAGCATTAGCTAAGTGGATTTAACAGCAGCTCTTTGTTTAAATAAGCTGTAGAGGAGCATGTTTCATAACACATCCAGTATGCTTAAATGAGTGCAGATTCCATTTCAGAAATGACACCCATGAAGCAAGCACTTTATCTTCTTTCATAATAAAGAAAAACATGTTTATACAGATAGTGAGGTTAATGTTCTGTTCACAAAGACTTGCATGTTTGTTTTATCCCTTGTAGAGGGGTATCTGTAAGTTTAAAAAAAAGTTGCAACCTTAAATGTGAATTTTAGATGAGTGAGTTTTTTAGTTTTAATGAGTGCAAACAAGCACTTTATATATTGTTGGTGTGTTGACTTTGATGTCTAGCTTTGTTTTGACTTGAATATAATACAAATTGAATATAGTTTATAGACTTGAATATAGTACAAGTTAACAGATTTTTTGTAGTGTATTCATAGAAAAAAACCTGTCTATTCTAAATACAGAGCTAAAGAAACAAAGTGTGGATAGGAACTTCAGCTGTTCTAGCATTTAAAATACAAATATTTATATACAAGTTTTAAGTGTAGCCACAGGTTGTCAGTATTTGCATCTTGAATGTTAAGTATGCTGTTTGGTTTTAAAAAGCTCCATACATGCTATTTTTTTAACTAATGCTATTGAAATGAGTTCAGGTCCATTAGAACAAATTTGGTCTGTCATTAAAGAAATATAGAGTATCTTCAATTCCTAGTTCAGCAGTGTTTTACTTCCCTGCCCAAACTTCCTAGTGTCACAAAAATCACTGCCATATTTCTAATGAATTAATCTGTGCCTCCCCTCTCTAATTGCTAGTCAAAACTGTTGTCCAAGAAAGTTTAGGAAGAATGATTAATTTTCTTTTCCATTCCTAGGGTAGTGACACTACTCTGCAAGAGTTATTGGTAGAATAGGTTTTTTTATTGAGAAAGTAAGACTTGAACCAATATCAGCTTGAGTTAGTGATATTAGTGATACTGCTTGTAAAAGAATTGGCACATAAAATGTAACAAAACTTGGATTTTGTTCTAATTTCAGAGCAATATATTTTGCTGCTTACTCAAACTGCAAGGAAAAGTTGAACAATATTTTTAATCCAGATTCTACCCAGGTACACATGATTTCAGCTGGTGTGGCAGGTAAGAATCTGTAACTTTTTAGCTTCATTTTAGAGTTGTATCTGCAAATAAGAGGTGACATTAAATCTGGAGAAAACAAAATAAATTGTTCAGTGATTGAATAATCTTTTTGTACTGGTTACCTTCTCTGGCTTCTCATGAAAGTAGCTAGCTAGAGCATATATTAATGAAACTCTGTACTTAAGTGCTAATGAAGATCTTTAACTCTGTGGGAATAGTCTTTTGTAGAAAAACTTGCATGCCTGCTTTTTCAGTTGTAAATTTGTGAAATAAAAACATTCAAAACTGTAACTTTACTCTTTCTGGTATAAACATTTTTGTACTGGACTCGAGTTTAATGCTTATTCTGTTTTTTTACCATCACTTTCTCTTAGAGCTTTGTACATAAGACTTGTCTTTGTCCTTTTGAAATATGCCTGCAGACATATGTATAAACTGTGTGTAACACTTTCTCCTCCTTTGTTCAAATGTAATTCTCTGAAGTTTGTCCTACCACTAAAGTGACATGGAAGAACAGATTTCTGTAGTTTTCATATATTTCAGTCTCCGGAAATAAATTCCTCTTTTATATGTGCAGTGTAACTTTGGTGAATTTTAGCAGCTACCAATATTTGTTGTTTGATTTGTATGATCTGTGGTTTGGGATCATTAAGAAGGGGAACAAAACTTGGGCTGGTAACACTTTACCTGTTGTTGCCTGTGTCTTTCCTATGCAAAAACAAATTTTCAAAATTATTTGTCTATATAGGCCATAGACACCTCACAGATGAGTTCTGACAATTTGACAGTAGTCTAAAGTTTAATTACTGTCAAATTTTACAACCAGGGGATATATCTAATGTGGGTACTAGCAATCTGGAATGGATTGCCAAATGTGATGTCAGGATAATTAAAAATTATTTTTTATTTAATACTTGGTAGTAGTATGATAAAAATCAATTGGTATATCATTAAAAATAAATTAATGGTAGCTTAATACTTAAATAGCACACTGATGTTAATTTCTAACACAAGACAAATTTTATGGCAGTTTGTAACCTTGTTAGAGATGTAAGGAAAGCTGTTTTGTCTTAAATGGGAAAAAAATGCTCAGGTGATACACAATTTATCAGCTGGAAATTTGTGTTTTGTTTGTAGGTGAATAGCATAGGGAATGGGATGGAAAGAGCTTTTGCTAAGAGTTCTTCCTAATAGGTTAGTTGCTCTAAGAAAAATGGAATTGTCTTCAGCTCTTTGTGAAGGCTATAAAGCATAACTTTAAATTTGGTGGGAAGGGGAAGTATGGGAAATAGAAACAAGTCCATCCTCAGTTGAAGACAGCTTGTGTAACTCGTGCAAGGCTGCAGCAAATGAAGTGTCAGTGTGTTTGTTGGAAGTTACTGCCCACATTCTGTAAGGGAGAGAACATTTATGGAGATCTAATGTAGTGACTTTTCCCAAGTACTTGCAAACCCAGGCTGTAGTTTGTCCAGTTCTGTATCTGCTTATTAACTCATTTCCCTTCCAGAAGGTTGGTATTACATATCTGTACATAGGAGTGCAGGAGACTGGGGTAACTATTTTATTTCCTTTTCTATGTTTATATAGGAGTTTTAATATTGAATAACTGTGGTTGTTACCTTTATCACACTTGCCTAGTCCTGCAGTTTTATTTCTACACAATATAGCCAATGAAACTGAATGCCCAGTGCAGGTTTACACTACAGGTCACAATTCTCTTTCTCTTGAAATGTCTGGGCACTGTCTACTACAGATCTTCTCTGGAAGACCTTTAAAAGAAGGTTATTCAACAAGTAATTATTGATGCTCAGGACTGGTGGCATTTTGATTTACATCAGAAGGACTATAGTTAAAATTAACAGTGTTGATTTGGGAACATGCTAACCTTGTTTTTGTAATTCTAATATTTCAGAAAATGCACTTAAACCACCTATTAAGTTTTACCTGCAAGGTTTGTATTGCTGTATAATGCAAACTTAAGGAAATGGCAAAATAATGGGGACAAAATTGAATGTGAGCTCTTAATTGGTTGGCTTAGATTTTTAACACAGATCACCATAATACTTGCTTTGGAACTTAAGATTTCAAAATTGGCAAGGTGGATAAACACTTGTAATAATTAGCAAAACAATAATAATTATTGGTTTTTTCTTTTGCAGCTGCCATTATTTTCAGTATGGAATTGAGTAACTCAGTCTTAAATGAGGGGTGTTTTTTCTGGGGGGATATCACCTTTCTGTTACATAAAAGCTTCTAATACCTAACGAGCATGAGCTGGCGTTTGCACTTCAAGCTTGTCCTGTAGGTTGCAAAATACAATAATAAGACAAATAAAAACAATATATAACTTACTGTTTTATGAAGGTACTGTAAGTAGTGAGCTTTACTTGACTTTACTGTTGTGTTATATGCTAATTCTTAAGTATCTCAGTCTAGGGTGATGTCCTTGCTAAATATGGATTATTTTATGCACATGGCATTTTTGAGGGTGAGAAGCTGAGGTGTGGTATTAAGAGTTTTTGTTGGATTTTAGGCCGGATTGTTCCTCCTTAAGCTAAAACATGTATCTTTGGTTTTATTAAGATACTTTTAGTAAGTTTGTTTTATACCAAGGAGGATCAATTATACTAAGTAACTGATGCCTTATGCAATTAGAAATTAATGTCCTCTCTTGCTGTGTGCTAGCTTCCAGCAAATAATTCACCTCACTTTCATACCTAAAATATCTGTATTGACATGAAGAAGTACTCAGCAATCTTTTGCTTACTACTCAGCATATTACATAGTTCTCTTGCAAACTTGGATAGTGAATATATCTGAAGCTTAATAGAAGAATGAGAATGTTTGCTTATGTGAAGACAGCTTATCTCTGCTTATCTCCTCAAAATTAGGCTAAATTCTCAGATTGATTCTGAGCTCTGCCTTCTCATTGCACTGACTCTTTTGCCACAGAATAAAAACTGTAGAGAACTGAATGAGATGCTGGATTTCTGTATGCCTTTCTGATTTGCCTATTTAATGATTCATAGCCTCATTCAGACAACATGATTTCAAATCTGCTGCAAAACTACTTTGCCTTGTATTCTGTTGATTGCTGTTATTTCTAGAACTCTACTGGCAAACCAACCCAAGTGCAGATTTATTTTTTATTATTAAGAAAAATTGGAACCACTTCATTACTTAAAAATACACCCTACTTTGGTAACTTTTTAGCAGTATGTACACAGTTATTTAATAGCAAATAAAATGCATATTTAGTTAATACAAAAAGTTTGATTTCATAAGGCATCTGTCTTGCTTTTTCAGTCCTAGGACAAGGCTAGCTTTTTTGAGTGATATTTGGGAGGGAGTGGGGAAGAAGGAGGGTTCACTTGTAAATTAAATGCATAGGTAAGTATTTGGAGAGAGAAAATTGAACTGCTGCAAATGAAGAGAAATTTCAGTACTCAGTGCATTTTACACAACTATTTGAGTATCTGTGGCCTGTTCTGATTTTTTTTTCCTAAACTTGTACCTGAAAACAGTTAGATCTCACAATAACTAATTCACAAATCCTTCCAATGGGATTCGATATGTACACATGTGTCTGATGAGGTCACTGCTTGTTGTTATGATACAGAAAAGCCTGTGTCTATTTTAGGCATTTACTGTACATTTCTCCCGTGAAAAGAGTGAGATCGTGTCATCTCATGCTCCCCATCCGCAGGTCACTTCCTGCAGCAATATGGACTAACTTAAACCTCGTGAGTACTGAACTGAGCGTCTCTTGCAGCCTCTAGTGTAAGAACCACACATTGGGTTTGGAATATCTATTCAATAAACAAAGTAAGGGGAATTCACTTTTATTCTCTTGAACTTGGATGATGTGCATTGTGCAAAGACATCACTTCTCCTTAACTCTGAGGAGTTATGTTTTTTCTGTAGAGTTGAGGGAAAGGTGGAAGGTACCTTTCACTGATAGCTGTTACTTTACCTAGCTCTGGCTAATTCAAAGTCCCTACTGGGTTAAACAAGGCCTTTTGGGGTTTTTTCAGTGTCCCAGAGCTGCCCTTAAAATGCTGCAGCTGATATTCTGTGTTGTCACATTATTTCAAAGGCCTCTTTCTTTTTTAAAAATATATAATCTCCTTTCTGTCTCTTTCTGTTGTCTTTTGGTTTGTTTTCATTTTACTACTTTAGGTTTTTAATTCAGCATTCCATATTACCATGTGTCTGTATCAATTACATTGGCTTATAGATAAAAAAAATAACCTTTGAAATATGATGCATAATAGGAATACCTGGGATCTTACCTGTGTGTAGCTGGTATAGCTGAGAAAGTAGATTGAGATAATTCTATTTGAAACTGGAATACAATTTCATAGAAGAAAACAAAACAGAAAAATACGGAAGTTTCTCATATGGCCAAATACATCTAGCTTTCTAATGAATCTGGAATCTTTCTTGAGGATACAAAACATTGATAAGCATTTTTATTAAGTTCACTGAGGCTTCTGAAAAGAAAAAGGAAATAATTGATAGAGCTTCACAGTAATTGGTGAAAGCCCCCTACTTATTTTTGACACATACACTTGCTACAGATTTTTTTATATTTAAAAGAAATAAAAGCTTAACCTATAAAAAAAATACCAAATGGTGTGTTTCATGTTTTGGACTGCTTTCCTTGATGTCAGCATCACTCAACTCCTAATTTATTTTGCCTGTTCCACTAATTGTACTATACTACCTGTAAGAATGGAGCTGTAGTTGTTTTATCTTGAAGCCTGAATTATTGAAGGCTCTTTGATTTGAAAGCTGTGCTTCAAATTGTCATCAATTTTGCCTCATTACAACCCTAGGAAAAAAATTGGCAATGTTTCAAAGTGTCTGATCCTACTGTTAGGGGTGCCACACCTAAATAATGTTTTGAGCAGCTCAGGGAGTGCAAGCTCTGACAGAATAGACTGTGTCCTGTGCCAGCCACCCTTCTCTGGCAATTTCCAATATAATCTTCCCAGCCTGCCTTGAAGGATCAGGCTGCTGCTGAGCATGAATACTCACTGCTGCCACCCAAACATTGCCTCTGATCTCACTTTTGTTAATCCTGTTCCAAATTTAGGGTCTACAGAGACTGCCTTTCTGGGTTGAATAGGAAGGAGAAAGGGCTGAGCAGATAAGATACTATCTAGCAGTAACAAAATTCCAAAGCCTACAACTTAAATAGCAATGCAAGAGATTTTTTGATCTTGCTCATTTGTAATTAAGAACTAGGGGAGACTTAAGAACTAATTAGTTGTTTGTTGGAGAGAAGCCTTTCACTGGAAAATGTGTTGGTGAAAGTTAGTGATTTTTCTGCACCTTCTTTCCAAGCTTTTGTTGCAGTCCTGGGTATTTCTAGTACCCTTTGCTACACTATAAATGCAGAAAGATTCTGATTTGAAATAAAATCTAATTAAAGCTTTCTTTGTGCTTGTATAAAGAAATAGAAAAAATACAAAAACAGTGTTTCCTTTATGTTTGGTTGAACCCGTGCTCAGATGCTGTTGGAATCTCTATGGCATTAAGTGACAAGTCAGAAGGGTTCTGGCTGGTTGAACTACAGAACCTTTTTTGCAGAGGTAGTGTGTTGTCAAAACGCTCCATGCCTTGTTATGGCAGAGTAGCTCCCTGGTGCTCTGAGTTTTTACACAATTCTTTATCTACATGAAATGCAGATATAAAATACTTTTGGCTTGTTAGGATTTCAGTCTGTTATAAGAAAGGCTGTATGTCTACCTAGACACAAGGACATGTGGTGTATAAAAAGACAACCCTGGAACTTTATCATCTATCACAGCTTTTTAGTAAGAGATTTAAGTCAGTTTAAAACCTAATCAAAAGATTAAATTGAAATCTCTAATGTGGTTTTGCTATGTTGCCACAAATATAGCTAATCTTAGTAGCTGCTAAACCTTGTCATTTGTCTTTACAACTAGATCATAATGGCCTATTTAAGATTTGGGGGTGGGGACAGAACCAACCTGAAGACAGTTAAGATCCCCTGGCATTTCTCTGAGTATTGCAGTCATTTGTGTGTGATGTAAACCTAGACTGTGAACTTAAGTAACACATATGCAAGCAGTTCTGCTGAACATATAAATATATGTAAGCTGTTAATGATCTCCATAAACAAGCTTATCAGTAGCCTGTTTGTTGTATAAGTATTGTGCACTAGAAATGCACTGAACAAGGTAGCTCTTTGTTGCTTTCTCACACCCCTAGTCCATTCCCTTGCAAGAGGGCAGCATGTCTTTGTAGTGATATACAAGTGATGTGTGTCACTTCGAAAGCAAGTGTCTAAATTTATCATCTCTTGCCTGGCCATTTTCCAGCTTTTCCCTCTTCCTCTTCTTTCCTGCAGACATGACACCTTTTAATGGTGCACGCACAACTCAAGATGGCTTTTTATTTTGGTTTTTTTGTGTTGTTTTTTTTTTTCAGAGCTGCCTTTCACTCTGCTCTTTTCTCTCCACAGTTGAGCAGAAGTAAGAGTGATTCTTACTTCTTTTTTTTTAATCTTTTTCTTCCTTTTTCTTTAGTGTACTGAAAATCAAAGCTTTAACCCTTATGCAAGCCTGAATAGTTGCTGTCAATCTGGATAGTTAGAAGTCATACTATTTACTTTAACAATTTAAACACTCGTATGCTTATAAAAGTATTCCTAGGCCAACCAACAATCTCTGCTTTGAATACTAAATAAAACATTAGCACTCAAATTTAACTGCTCTTTGTAGTTCAGTATTAAAAGGTCTCCTGACTTAGAGTAATGGATGCCTTTTAACTGCACCAAAAGTAGTATTTATTCAGTCTGCATGCTTTTAAACTCGGATTGTATTTCAGGTAGCAAATTAAACTAACACAATGTTTTGTACAATCTCAAATTGCTATAGCTCTATCTGCAATGCATTCTTATTGATGTTTGCCCAATTGGCTTATATTAGTCTAGCTAGCTTTGCTGCTCTGTGATACCAAAACAGGGTTGGTATGATTAGATAGGCTGAGCAATGTACACAATTGTGATTATTTTAAATGGGGAGTCTCTTGCTAAATTGAAGTTACTTAATGTAAAATAAAAAATAAGCTAAAACTTTACTGGCTGTATGGATTATTAAGGGCTATAATGGGTACTTTCTAAAAATCAGTATAGTCCGAGTTTTTGCATCCACTGTTCCTTACTGTGTGTGTTTTGGACTTAGATGCAGTTGCTCTTGTCATACTCTCACATCTAACTATTCTTTTAAAATATTTTTAGGTTTTACTGCAATCACAACAACTAATCCCATTTGGCTGGTGAAGACACGATTACAGCTTGATGCAAGGTATAGTGACAATGGGAGATCTCACTGTGTGATAAGGTTGTGCTTGGACCTTGTGAATCTGTTCTGCATCCCAAAATTGAATGTTTCTTTATCCAATATTTCAAATCAGAAAGCTGATGCTGATCTAGCTACAAGTTAAACTGTAGTTTTTCTCTGTTCTGAGGTTTGCTTGAGGTACTTCAGTACACTGGCCTGAAAACTTGGAATGAATTGCAAGGTTAACAGTCTGAGTAGAAATTAGTATGCAGTATAAATTTTTTTCTTAAGCCATCCATTAATGAGCCTCATATTTCTATTTTGGAGATTTGTTGGACTTCCTGAATAAAATTAATATTAGCATTTTTCTTAGTCAGGCTTATTGTCAGCTGCAGGGTGACCATAGTAAGTGTATCCCAGAACTGTTTTTACTGTGAGATTTTTTTATTGTGCTATCATGTGATTGGGGTGATAATCCCATGACTAATTCAGATGGGTTTTTGGTTTTATGTGCAACCTAATGGCATCTTGTGCCTCCTTTTTTTAATGATAAATTAGTTAAATTGCTTAAAATATAAGCAATAATTATGGATGGTGTATAAACATTATTTCTGTGCATTTTATCAAGCATTGTTCATGGGGATACCTGAAGAAGGATGTTCCAAGTTTATGTAGGATAGTGCAATTACATGGGCCAGTCTAATATAATCTGCATTCTCAGCTCTTCTGCTTCATACAAACTTCTGGCCTTATCTTGTTTCTGTTGAAATTCTCAAAAATCCCTTAGTAAGAGGTCCCGAAGGCAGGTGTTTTATTTCTCGAGTGACCTAGCTTTGGCCTTCAAGACAATGTTGTGCATCTTGCATATCAGAAGAGAAACTCTTAGAGCAGTCTGTGTCAGTGTACCTGTCCAGGTGTAGCAGGGACATATGGGAGCTGGGGTGCCCCTGGAGTGACAGCTGGAGGTCCAGCTGGTTGTCCCACCTGGCCCCTTTCCCAGTTTCTTCTGCACCCCCAGTGTCCTTGGTGGTGGGGTGGTGTGAGAAGCAGAGAAGGCCTTCATTATGTGTAAGTCCTGCTCAGCAATAGCTAGAACATTCCTGTGTTATCAAGACTGTTTCCAGTCTAAATCCAAAATACAGCCCCATACCAGCTAAGATGCAAAAAATTAACTATCCCAGCACAGCAGCTGCGTCCACTCTCTTAATTGTGCTTGGTACCTTGTTCCCCATGGCAGGTTCAGACCATCAGGACTTAAATTCTGCCATTGAGTGACACCTACCTCCATAATAGCTGCTGCTACTGACTGTCTTGCTTTGACACTATCTGTAGGAGTTAACTTTCTTACAAGGTTCTTTGCTGTTTTAATCTGTGAGTTACTCACTCAGGAGACCTCTTGTGGCAGAACCCATATGCTTCAAGTGCCTGCACTCTGCTGCAATAAAGTGTCTTTTATGCAGTGTTGTAATGGTTTTGCCCAGCTGTATGTGGTATGTTATGTCAATATGCACAGCTCAATTAGTAAGCAAGCTAAAAATGGGAATAAGGTTTTATTTACCAAATACTGCTTGGTACAGCCATGTCTAGTTAGCATTTTCCTTGACATAAGTGGGGGCTTAGTTGAATCAAGTCATAGCTACCTGTAATGTATTGGTTAGTATGCTCTGTTTGGATACACTAGTTGTTTGGTGGTGGCTGTGGTGCTGTGAAGCCTTCTGGTTGAACTCTCAGCCACCATCATTACCATGCTGTGGAGCTGTATATTTGAGGCAAAATTTAGGGGCGATCTACTCACATTATGCAGAAGAAAATGCTAGACCTGCAGAGACCTACATAATCCTTGTTCTGTAGTCACCTTACCAAGTCTGGCCTGGGTGCAGTGTTGTGCTTCGCCTATCTAGTGCTGAAGGCCTTTGTGACTTCCACCTCAAGTTCTGTGTGTTGTTAATTGCATTTGAATTGGAGCCTCTCAGCTTCAGTGTAAGATGTTTCCTCTTGTCACTCAAGGAAAACTGTTTAGTTATTCTCCAGTCTCAGGTTGCACCAGTTTGATGTCTGTTTTGTTCTCTCCTTTTTAGGAATCGTGGAGAAAAACGCATGAGTGCTTTTGAATGTGTCCGAAAAGTTTATCGATCAGATGGTGTTAAAGGCTTTTACAGAGGAATGTCAGCATCTTATGCAGGCATATCTGAGACTGTTATTCATTTTGTTATTTATGAGAGTATTAAGAGAAAATTACTGGAGTATAAGACTGTTTCTGCCATGGACAATGAGGATGAATCAGCAAAAGAAGCTTCGGACTTTGTTGGCATGATGATGGCTGCTGCCACTTCCAAAACTTGTGCAACATCAATAGCATATCCCCATGGTAAGTGGGGCAGATACAGCAGAGGATATCCAATCATATCCTCAGTCCTAAAAAGATGTGTTTTGCTGTTTTTTTTTTAATAGAAGTTTTCAAGTAATTTT